TAATGAAAGTACGCGTCCTTGAGGTCGATCGCTGCGAACCAATCGAAAGGACGGACGCATTGAAAGATGAGTTTCTGCGTCAACATCCTGAACGGGAGCTTGTGAAGGGCCCCGTTCCGCATGCGCAGGTCCAGGATTGGTCGTAACCCGTGGCGAAACACGCACGCCAACTGTCATTGGCTTGTTTAGTTAACACTCGAAGGTGATTGGGCTCTCGGGCGAGATCCCAATTCGTCAGTCACGACTGGCGTAACGTCGAACGTGACTGACTGAAAGGGAAAGTTGGATATAATATACTAGAATATTTATCTCTATAGTATATCCATAATATATATCCAACTTCATATAGAGAACTGTGTGATAATAGTTTACATTTTGTGATTATATAAACAATCATGCAGCTGAGATTTGTGTAACCAGGAATGATTTACAGATGATTTTTTAACATCGCCTTTAACAACTACAAGTCAAAAGATGGCAACTGACTGCGAAAATTTGCTAATACACACAGAAAAGTCAGCAGTGTAAGGACCTTAAAACATTCAGCAGTCAGTGGACTATGAGCACAATGATGGTGTTTCTCTGGGCTTTTCTGATGGACTTCCATACAAAAGCTTCATTCTAGCATCCTGTGAGTCTTCGTATTCGACTGAAAAGGACACCTTTCCCACTCCTTTGAAAAATAACCCTACAGCATGCTAAGGGCTCATAGGAGAAATACAGATAAACATGCACAAAGAGATCTTGTCAAGCCATCTTAATGGTTCCTATTTGCACCAGATATTTTTAAGTGTAATCTACTTTGTGTATGTTATACAAACACACATGTACACATACATACACCTACAATCAAACCCCTTGATCTGGGCCGGTCTGGAGCCGGACCCTGTCAGTGTGATGGTTTTAAAGATGGACCGTTGTCTGAATGGATTTCTATGGCTAATGCATTCGATTAAGAGCTCAGTGACAGTTGTATGGTGGTTTCAGGTTAGGCTTGTTCAGGATTTGGCGAAGAAGAAAAAAAAAATCAATAGACAGTCAAAGAAACTCATAGAAAAGAAATATCACAAATTATATCTCTTATGCATCTTATCTGATCCTCCATAGACTCAACAATGTCTCAGACTGATATGTCATTTACGTTTTGCATAACTATTTGCCTCAAACCCATTTCTGAATTTCTTTAAAAGATATGATTTTAGAGGTAGACCGCCGTTTCCTTCAGCAAGGAAATAAGTGCCAATATCAAACTATTAATCAATACTAAAAAACTTTATGAATGTTGTAAACTAACCAATCATCATACCAATCATATAATTCTTAATAAATAGTTTCCTTTCCTCTTTTACATAATCATTTAAATAGCACTTTTAATGCCAAATTAATGTTAATATGTTTGCTGTGTTAAAAATGTCATTATGCATATAAAATAAATAAATATATATTTTTATACATTTTTATTTCTTTAGCACTGCTGAAAAGTATTCATATCTAATTTCCTTCTTCAGTAAATGTATGTTTTAAAGCTGCTTAGATATCTTCATTTGAAAACAAAAATACTGATTGAGAAAACTGCTTTACACATTTATCATCACTATTTCAACATATCTACATACATTTTTTAACAATTGTCTCACTTGTTTTTATTTTTATTTCACCTCTTTTAGGAAGAGCATAAGGAAATCTGAGACAAAATGAGACCTAAGTAAAACATAACTGAGAATCCTTGAAGTCTCCTATAAAAGAGCAAACCATGTTTACTTTGGGAAAGGAGCGTGAAGAGAAGGAGATACAGACTAAACACCGTGAAAGAAAAGGGGTTGCAGAGAAGGGAGGGGACGGATAAATGGATAGAGAGGATGGATAAAGAGAGATGGATGGATGGAGAAAGAGAAGGATGGGGGGAGGGATGTGATGGAGATGGAGAGGGATGATAAAACACATTACATCCCTGCAGTCAGCACAGACGGATAGTGTGACAGATGACTGTGACTCCCTTCCTCCATTTAACCAGGAACTATGTCAAGTGCAAATACAAATCCTGTCTGTTGTCTTAAAATTAGTAAAATTAGAGTTAGAATTGAGACTGAGGATTAGCGTAAAAGCACAAAACTACAAGTACAAAACTAAAAGCACAGAAAACTACAATAACAGTATATTTTCAGTCTTTATTCCATTATCCCATTACTAAAATGACACAAACAAACTTCATTTCATTGTTTGCAATCAGTTTAAATTTGTAAAATGGTTTATTTACAGGTATAGTTCACCCAAAAATTATTTGTTCATCATCATGACCTTATTTCTTCCCTAAAACACAAAAGAAGATATTTTGAAAAATGGCTTAGTGTACTTTTGTCCAAACAATGAAGGTTAATAGGGTCTAAAATTGTGAAATATCTTCTTTTCTGTTCCAAAGAATAAAGCAAGTCACACACAGCTTTTGGAATGACATGAGGGTGAATAAATTATGGTAGAAAATTCATTTTTGGGTGAACTGTCCCTTTAATCCGTTTACATTCAGACTACATGAACAATTTTCATTGGCCAGAAGCAGACTGACACAGAAACATTTTTTTAATCCACTAAAATTCATCCATTTAATTTATAGACCATTAGAAATAGGTTTTATCTGGATTTTTTATCTGGATTTTTCAGGAAAGATGTCTGAAGCATAAAATAACTACATCCTTTGAATATGAAATAATGTAGGTGAGATTGTGAACAACTGAGTGAATGAGAAAGACAAGACGAGAAAGACAGAACAGTGAACTCTTACCACAGGCGTTGAGAAGCTTCATGACACACATCTACAGGGCCTCCTCGCCCTACACCATTCCTGAAACACCCAAATACAGGACTTCATTACTCATCGCAACATGACAGTCCAACATCAAGCAAAAACTGTTTGGTGAACTGAATTCAGTGTTGAAGTTCACCCAGAAATTAAAATTTGCTGAAAATTGTTGAAAACAAGATGTAGATGAGATTGTTTCATCATCAGATTTGGAGAAATGTAGCATCACATCACTTGCTCAGCAATGGATCCTCTGCAGTGAATGGGTGCCGTCAGAATGAGAGTCCAAACAGCTGATAAAAACACCACCATAATCCACAAGTATTCATACTTCATACTATAAATATTCTTTGACAGCCAATAAATGTGAAGGAGAATGACGGTGCTCTCTAAAGTGCTTTCTCTTCAGGCAGTGTCTTTGAGTTATTGATCCACAGGCTCAGCTTCTGAATTTACACAAGTCAAAATCACTCAGTTATTCATGCCTCATGAACTTTGGCCTCTCAGAAAGAAAAATATGTGTATCTCTCAAAAAGAAAAAATTTAGCTCTAGACTACTTGTTTTATGTCAGTTTTTACATGACTTTTCTATTTATTTTTCCATTTAAGGGGAGGGGAGTTTTTCATTACAGCACAAAGCAAACGCACCACAATCTCAGTGACACTGCAGTTCTATCAGGGAACATCTTAGTCATCACACTCACCTTTAAAGAAGACTTATGTAAGAAACCTAGCGTGGTGCTTTTGTATTTTAGCTAACACAGTCTGACATCTCACATCTCTGTAAAACCTCTGTGTCCTCCAGCACAGATGGATGAACACACCTATCACAGCTTTTGTGTAATGAGCAGCTATTCTTCCAGATTATTTATAGCTAGATTGTCCCTGTGCTCTCCTATCTAGTGGAAAATCAAGTCTTGTCTCTGGAGAGAAAACAGCAGACAACCTCTAAGAAAGATGAGAGATGCTTTCCAAAACCAATGCCAGTTCAGCATGTTCATTTGACTCATGGAGAAAAAAACATTCCACAAGGACAAAGTTTTACAAACCTACACATCTGCAGATCAGATTATATATAGCTTTTCATTATTAGCTGTTATTTGCTGTATCAAAAAAATAAAAAAAATAAATAAAAGTTGATTTTTACATTTTCAGAAGAAAATGTGAGTGGGATCTATCTCTGTCTGTCTGTAATCCATCTTTCAGACTTCAAGCTTTTAAAATAATTGTAAATTATTGTTAGGGATGCATAAATACATAGATATATTAAAATTCTGGCTGATATTATTTTCATATTATGGCCGATAACCATTGTTGGTTACGACTGAAAAGTCTTTTCAGTTACTGAAATTAAGCTAAAATAATATAATATCTTAGATGAAAAACGTAAGAAAAATACATTTTATACCCATGGGGGTCGAGATTTTAAAGCCCAATAAAGTGCATCCGATTTAAGTGCATTCATCATAAAAGTGCTCCACAATAAAGGCCTCCTGAAGCGAAGAATTGCATTTGTGTAAGAAAAATATCCATATTTCAAACTTTATAAACCATTATAAACTGTGATACTCGCATTCACGTGAGAGTGGCGTTCCAGCAGATGATGTAGGACGTGGGCGCAGAGTAAGCTTCGGAGAATATGCTAGTCTAAAGTTTTAAATATGGATATTTTTCTTACACAAGTGCATCGATTCACTTCAGAAGGCCTTTATTAACCCCCTGGAGTTGTGTGGAGTACTTTTTAGGATGGATGGATGCACTTTATTGGGCTTTAAATCTCGACCCCCATTCACTGCCATTATAAAGCTTGGAAGAGCCAGAACATTTTTAATATAACTCTTGACTGTATTTGTCTGAAAGAAGAAAGTCATAAACACTTAGGATGGATTGAGGGTGAGTAAATCATGGGGTAATTTTCATTTTTGGGTGAACTATCCCTTTAAATATACAGTATAAACTAATACTGATAAATTACAAAAACTCTAATATCAGCTAATAACTGAAATGGTACTAATATAACATGCTTCCCTGTTTAATATAATGTACTCATACTAAAATGTGACTGGTGTTTCACTGTACTAATATAAGGCAATGTAGAGTCATTGGAGTTCACAGGCCATTGGATAGATGAATCATGGGCAAGATGTGCTTATCTTTATGTTCACATGGTGACATGATTACGACAGCAATGCACAAGTCAACAGTCACCCAAAAACAGATGAATACTGTAAACACACGCAGCTCAGTGTGTGTCCTGTACCCGTCCTCATCTGTGTCCTCCTTGCATCACTTGCAGTGCAAGAGAGGAGAAAGAACACGAGAATCCTAAAAATATCCTGCTGCATCTCCCACATTAAACCAGCCAGACCTCTCGCCCTCTTCTTATTCCTACTGCATTATGTAACATCAGATCCGTTGCTATGGAAAACGAGACTTCTCAGTCTCAGTTTTTGTTACTTTATATTGAGAGGAGAGCAGAGAGAGGACAAGAGAAAATGGGGAAAAGAGTGGGAATTTTTGCTTTCATATATTTTTATTCAAATGTAACTGTCTCCACCTCAGAAATGACTTTTCTGCTCATGTAACCCAGGCAAACTTGGCAATAATAGACCACTTTTCATAATTCAATCAAATCCTGATGGTTGAAATCAAGTCAGACCCCAAATTATTTCCCATGTACTGTCTTAAACAGCAATCTTGCAGTCATTAACAGAGGAGCAGACGGTAATGTGGATGAGCACTGAAGATTTTGTGTCGTTAGCAGGGGGTGAGAGCTGGTTGGTTTGTAAGCTGCTTTGATCCTGGTGTGACACAGATTCAAAGTCAAATTGAACTCAGCCCGAGAACATAATGCATTTTGTAAAATTACTCAACCACAATTGTTTCATGCCAAATGCTGATAAAACATTCTAGAAAAAAAGGCAATAGAGTATAAAGCCAAATTTCCCAGGCAAAATACATCCCAATACAATAGCATATTATATTAGGAAGATACATATTTTTGGAGTTCAATTAAACATATTTTAATTGCATTTTTATCTGTGTTTTCTGACAATGCATTGGTTGAGTTTTTTCACACTGATCTATTATTGTAATATCAACTACAGTATTGTTCAAAAATTTGGAGTCGTCAAGTTTTTTATATTTTTGAAAGACCTTGTGCTCATCAAGACTGCATTTATATCATCAAAAGTAAAGTAAAAACAGAATTTAAATATTATTTCAATTCAAAATAACTGTTTTTTATTGTAATATGTTTTAAAATGTATTCCTTACAAAGCAATTTTTTTCAGATTTTTTTTTCCATGAATAGAAAATTCAAATGAACAACAGAGCACGTACACACCTCACACATCGGATGCCGTGCACGCGCTCAAGGAAGTTGGACATAGTGGTGTATTAGAGGTAAAAAATGATATAAATACTGTTCGGTTTCTGGCACAAACCGATCGTTTCGTGTCTTAGGACATCAATTTAAACTTTATGTAAGTTATTTGTTATTTTAAATTAGGCATAGCCTGCCCTATAGCATGGTGTATTTTTATTTGTTTTGTTAATAAAAGTTCTATGTTTTATATATAGGCTAAAGTGAGTTTGACATTGTATTTTGTTGTTGCGTTCAAGCAATTGACGCCAAATTGCTGCTAATTGCCGCGCACAGCACTTTTAAGCTATTTAAAAGCGAAGAAAAGAGGGAAAATTCAAACGAACTAAAAACGAACAATTGCTTTACGCCGAATTGCCACTATTTGAAAGTGAAAGTAAAATGTGCACGCAGCTTTTACAAGCTATTTAAAAGCGAAGGAAAGCGAGGAAAAGAGGGAACGCCCCCGCGGTGATACCGGTATTACCGGTGTTGTCACACGTCGATTAACCGGTGGGAAAATTTCCTCACCGTCACAACCCTAACACCTGACCATTACACTGGGACTTTAATGACATTGCATTCTAAATACACAGACATTAATATGGAGTTGGTCCCCACTTTACAGCTACAACAGCTTCCACTCTTCTGGCAAGTCTTTCCACAAGATTTTGGAGTGTTTCTGTGGGAATTTTTGCCCACTCATTCAGTAGAGAGTTTGTGAGGTCAGATGTTGGACGAGAAGGCCTGGTTCACAATCTCCATTCCAGTTCATCCCAAAGGTGTTTGATGGGGTTGAGGGTAGGGATCTGTGTAGGACAGTCAAGTTCCTCCACACCGAACTCATCCTATCATATCTTGGGCCTTGCTTTGTACGCTGGGGCACAGTCATGATGGAATAGAAAAGGTCCTCTCTGAAGCTGTTCCCACAAAATTGGAAGCATAGCATTGTCCAAAATGCCTTGGTTTGCTGAAGCATTAAAATTTCCCTTCACTGAAAGTGAGGACCAACACCAACCACTGAAAAAAAAAACAGCTCCATACCATTATCCCCCCTCCACCAGACTTTACAGTTGGCACAATGAAGTCAGGCAGGTAATGTTCTCCTGGCTGGCATCCGCCAAATCCACAAACAGAAACACATGATTTGTCACTCCACAGAAACAGGTTTCCACTGCTCCAGAGTCCAGTAGTTGCGTGCTTTACACCACTCCATCCAACGCATGGCATTGTACTTGGTAAAGTGAGGCTTGCATGCAGCTGCTTGGCCACGAAAACCCATTCATTAAGCTCCCATCATACAGTTTTTGTGCTGATATTAATGTCAGTTGAAGTTTGGAAGTCTTCAGCTATGGAATCAGCAAAGTGTTGGTGACTTTTATGCATCATGCGGCTCAGCACTCGGTGATCCCACTCTGTGACTTTACGTGGTCTTATGCTTCATGGCTGAGTTGTTATTGTTCCTATACGCTTCCACTTTCTAATAATACCACCAACTATTGACCGTGGAATATCTAGCAGGGAAGAAATTTCACGAACCGACTTGTTGCAGTAAAGGTGGCATCCTACAACCACACTTGAATTCACTGAGCTCTTCAGAACGTCACATTTTTTTCACAAATGTTTGTAAATGCAGACTGCATGGCTAGGTGCTTGATTTTTTTTTACACCTGTGGCA